AAATATCAGCAGTTTCAACGATAATCTCGTTTGGAAAAGGACAGAATATAGGAAGTGTGGCATTTTGTTAGGAAAATACCGATGGGAATCTAATTCTGGATGACCTGGGTGTCTAGAATGCGAAGTGACACGTTTTCGTATTAAGGATGGTTTAGATAACTTCCGACATATATTTTAGTAAAAGATAAACAACATAAAAATATTTAAAAAAATCGGAGAAGCAATAAAAGGTGTTTTTTTTACAAAGAGTTTGAGTTGAACTTGATGGCGGTTCAAAAGAAAATCTATTGAAGGAACATCCAAAATAAACACCTGAAAAGGATGCTTTGTACGCGTTTACCTGGTTTTCCGGGAATCGAATACAAAACGAAATTACTCTATACATAAAAGCTTACGGTGCGCTTTGTGCGAAGGTTTGCAACAACCACGTGTTACTTCTTGTATTTACCAAAAAGTGTTCAGGTACCTAAAACTATTTCTTAAAATAAACCATAAAATTTTATGTTACGAGAGTTTGAGTTTCAATGAAGTACTTTAAAATCAATAAAATTTATGATTCTAAAATAAATCGAGAATACTCATAAATCTGTGCAAGATTCGTTTGCCAACATTCCTCTTAGTTATAATATGCCGACCTTTTCTTTTATGTAATTGGCTAACGTCAATGAAACTCCGACCTACGCCAATCTGGCAAACATACAAAACTTGAGATATGATTCATTCTTTATTGAAGAAAATGAAAGAATTTTTAAGAGTTTCAAGAAATTGAAAAAATATCCAGGTGCAAGAACATCTAAAACCAGACAATATCGAGCGTAATTCTTGCGCAAAATCTAAAGTGTCGGGCGAGGTTTGGGGTGAATGGCCACCTCCAGGTAGAGAGAAACCGGAGGGTTGTTCGAATTGCAGCTCTCTCGCTTTGATACAGCACCAACAACAAATCCCCAGGACGACGAGAACCGAACAGCTTGAAATCATTAAAAATAGCTAAGCACCTACCACCGTCTTCTCGATCAGCTGTCGCTGACACACCGGAAGTGGAAACCGTGAGAATTAGTGTCGTAGGTAAGTTATTGGAGAAGCAAAAAAGAATTAATAATAAAATATTTAAAATAACCTAAATATTTGGACACTTTTATTAGAAAATCCTTGATTTCGATGCTTAACCACGTAAGGAGGATGAAAGAAACAAAAAGTTTTGATCAAAAAACAAACTAATTATTTTTTTTTAAACCAAAAAAAATTTCTCCCTTTTCTATACATTTAAGGACTTGCCCAACTCGTTTTTTATTACATTTATATTTATTCACAGCTGGTTTGAGCTTTTTTTGTTTAGGAGTTCGAACGACAAAAATTGTATGTCAAGGTTGGATGTTTTATACGCTTTAACCCTAGAAAGCTAAAAAAAATTTAGTAAAATAATACTTCTTTTGATACAAATTATATCATTGAAAGCATGTTTAGGACAAATTTGGAAATTACAAGTCGTCAACGCAATCGACAGAGCACAAATTTTCTTCTTGAAACCGGTTTTTGACTTTTCACAAGATTAGTGACGTAAATGACACATGCATTCACAAGTACAATATTCAGAATGCCATACCATACGCACAAAGTCCACCGTTTAATCTTGCGAACGGCTAAAGCCGAATGATTTTAGTTCTAGGTCGAGTGTTAGTTCTACTGACAGTGTTAAGTAGTGCTAGTAAGCACTAGATGGTGGTAGATTGTATGTTGTCTGACACACTAGACTTAGAACTAGAAACATTCGGGTTTAGCCGTCTTGAGAGACTAGCGAAAAATCATTAAAAAGTTTCTGGACACTTCTGGACATCTTTAAAAATCGTCTGGAAATCTTTATAACTCTCTAGAAAGCGTTTAAACACTATTTGATAACTATAGAGACCATTAGAAAGCTTCTGGACACTTTTGGACATCTCTAAAGTCCCCTAGTTTATTACTAGAAGTAAAACACCAGAAACCTAGATTCTAGACTACACCTAGAAACTAGATTCTAGTTCTAGGTCGAGTGTTAGTTCTAGTGACAATGTTAAGTAGTGCTAGTAAGCACTAGATGGTGCTAGATTGTATGTTGTTATTGAACTAAAACTAGAACTAACACATGACCTAGAACTAGAAACATTCGGGTTTAGCCGTGCGTCTGAAGACTGACTGATTAAATGCTGAATTGTTGTATATTTTTATTGAAGTAGTTGAAAGGTTAAATATACGTATTAGAAAAGTACGTACAGTGTGTTAATTAATTATCGTACCCGACGTCATCATTAGAAGTATGCAACCAATATTACAATATTAGTAATGCAATACGCGATTTGCGGATTCAGATATATTCAGTGTGATATTGGTTGCATATTAGATTATATAGTAGAACTATATATTTGGATTTAGCCGTCTTAAGAGACGTACGGCTAAATTCGAATGTTTCTAGTTCCATAATATAATAAGTTCCATATAACCAATACTTAACGGACCTTGGCATGAATAACCAGTAGTCAGTAGTGACAATAGCAGCATCCCAAATCTTTACCACCAATAGCAACAAACCTTGGTAACTCGCTATAATATTGCGTCAGATTTGGCGGGATACTGCCACTGTCACTTCTGGTTATTCTGTGATTCAGTTGTGTGGTTTTTTTTTAGAAGTTTTGCTCCTACTGCGAGGATGGTCAAGTTCCCTGCAGATGTTTGTACAAGTAATATGAGCCTAGCTTTGCAGAAGAAAGAACGTAGTTGAAACTAACAAGCGCCGATGTGGTTAAGCGACTTTCCTGCTCAAATAACTTTGCTAACATCTTTATTTACTGCTCATTGCATTAGCTTGAGAGCAGCTTTAGAATGCCTGTTTGATATTACATAACATCCATTGCCACAGACAACATTGTTTGTAAGGAGGTTTTGACTCGTCAGATTACATAAGTTACCCTACCTACATAGGGTTATGCAAAAGGGATAAAATTACGCAACATTTTTTACCTGGAGGTTATTGATCTCAGTAAACAAAACTAACCTTATCCAACATTCTGTACCTGCAGGTTATTGACCTCAGTAAACAAAACTAACCTTTCCCAACCTTCCTAATATTGCGCAACGTTCATAACCTTGCTCAACACTCTTTACTTGGAGGTTGTTGACCTCAATAAAGNAGGTTATTGACCTCAGTAAACAAAACTAACCTCACTCAACATTTTCTACCTGGAGGTTATTGACCTCAGTAAACAAAACTAACCTCACCCAACATTTTCTACCTGGAGGTTATTGACCTCAGTAAACAAAACTAACCTTTCCCAACCTTCCTAATATTGCGCAACGTTCATAACCTTGCTCAACACTCTTTATTTGGAGGTTGTTTCCTCAATAAAGAAAATGAACCTTACTTAACATTCAATACTTATCATAAAATATATCACAGAATACTTATTTTTTAATAAACTGATTTATTTCATTAAAGTAAACTCTAACCTAACTTGTATTAAACCTCATATACAATACTTATGTTAACATTTAATTAAAAGTTATTTATTTCATTATTAACAAAAAATTGTTTATATGATTTAAATAATTGCTAAAAATTAATGCTCAAAGAGTTTTAGCGCAATCTATCGATTGATAGTGAAACCATTTTAGTTACAGTTTCCTTCTTTTTCGACGAAATCTATTTTGACCTTAATTTTACAGGAATCTGTAACCGCAAAATCCCCCAAAACCGTTTAAAATTTTTTTTTGGTGATTTTAATGAAAAAATGCGTATGTTTTAAATAAAACACTGAATTAAAATTCAATAAACATAAATTTATTATTTCCAGTTGTATGATAAAAATACAATTCTGGTTCTATTGTTATTTAGTTCAGTTGCGTTGAGGTATGTAACGTTCTGTGTACATCTTGTGTGTTTCGTGTGTGGTTCATATTTTATGTATGTTTGATGTGTTATACAATTGTGTGAAATTGGTCTATTGCTGTTTGGTTTAGAAAAGAAGGGACAAATCAAATTAAAAAAAAAACGATTTAATTCGATTCGGTTTTGCGACGAAATACAAATTTGAAAGTAAAGTTAATTTTGAGTACAGTTGTAGCGAGATTTTTTTTAAAGAAATTTCGATTCTTTTTCGTCTTATTATTAATATTACAGACATTTTGTATTATTTTTTTTTCTATTCGCTAGAAAAGAATGGTTTTAATTTTTTTTTTGGGTTGGATAAAAGGGGTTGAAGGCTTAAAAGGTAATCTAATGATCGATTTTCATTTTTTCTTTTACATATTAATGATAATTAATTTAACAATGATCCGTTAGTAAGAACAAGAACTCAAACCCACATTTACAGATAATTTAATACAGGTTTTGTTTTCGTTTTTAAATTTATCTTTCTTTTATTACACAAAGATAACTATGTCGTTTTTGCACATCATGCAAAAATCTTTGGAGCAAACTTTTTGTATTTTTAATTTTAATTAGGCAACATTCAGAGAGAAAAATCGATTTTTTTTTCTTAATAGTCGCTTCGTTCAAAACTATATATTAGCAACTTTTACAAATATATAAGGTATGTTTTTTTTTAATGTACATTTGTGTCTTCGTCTGCTTCATATTTTTTGATAGATGTTCGCCTACAAGATCGTACTAGAATCCAATTTTCGCAAAAACCTCACATTAAACTACCTCTTCCATATTCAAATATCGTGTTTATTTATTTGTCTTTATATTTACATATTTTTCCTAAAAGGGTTTTCGCGAAAATTTCACTCCTTGAAGCTTTAGGAAGGGTCTGAATCACGTTAAGAAATTAGAATTAACAAAAATCGCTATCAAGCCCTCTTTTGTAAATGTTTTGTGCTTGGATTTAGAAAAAATTATGGTTTAACAAATTTACATTTTATAACAATTTAACGTTTAATGTAAAAACTTACGTAAAAATGAAATTTTTGGTTTAAATTTTATTTTGGGGAAAAACAAATAAAACGAAAATCAAAACAAAAACAAATATGATAACATTTCTTTTAATATTCAAAATGAGTTGTTTTACATTAAACGTTGTCGCATTTTTAAACAAAGAAGCCTTTACAGAAAATTATACTACTTACAGAGATTTTTTTGTTAGTTAGAAGTACGTAAAAAAGGGTTTACAAAAAAAATGAATTATAAGTAAATAATCTTCATTTTCTTATCAAAAAAGGTACACGTTATATGTACATATTTATGTAGTAAATCTTAAAAAAATAATAACTAATAGAAAAAAATGATAATGAACGGTCAAAAATATTACACTGAACTTAGCTGCTAACAAATCGATTTCTCTGTAAAACTATTTACATTTTCTTCTCGATTTCTTGAGAAATCTCATTATATATATATAATTTAATTAATTTATATATATAAAAAAGAATATTATTAAACAAAGCAACATAGAATAGAAATATCATCCCTTAACTACATTCTGTCATGGAGAGATCATGGAAACTTGTAAAGGTCGAGTCAGATCGTTCTTATCCCCTTCTTCCACTTTTATTTATCATATATTTTTAAAGTTTATTTTCCACGTTTCTTCGCCTCGATCCCGGTTTCTTGCTTACTACGTAGAAGTAAATATTATCACATTTTTTTACTTAATAATAATAATTTATGTTTAATTTTTTCATTAATTCTTTATTTAATAAGAACCGCCTTTTTTATTATTATAGTCTTATTAAAAGTTTCTTTTATTAACGTCCCATGTTGATTTTGGTCAATTCGGATTATATATATATATTTTTTTAATAAATCACTTCATACACCGTTGCTTTTTTATCTCCAGATCCAGTCACAATGTATTTATCATCAGCTGATATATCGCAGCTTAATACACTTGATGATTCTTTTGACTGAAAAAAAAAGAAAAATTGTTAATATTTTTGTAATAAAGTAACAAGTATTCATTTAATAAGTTATTTATATAATTGAAATTCTGTTAATTCTACTTGATTTTATATGATTCTACATGGTTCTATATGATACTATACGATCCTATATGATTCAAAATTATTTTACTTGATTCCATATGGTTTTATCCTATATAATTCTATATGTTCTAACATTATTTTACTTATTCTATATGAATCTAAACGATTATATATGTTGCAACACTATTTTACTTGATTCCATAGGTTTTTATACGATTCTACATTATTCTGTGCGGTTGAGTCTATATGATTCTATACGATTCTATATGATTTAATATTATTTTACTTGATTCTATATGATTCAACATTACTTTACTTGATTCCATATGGTTCTATATGATTCTACATTAATCTGTGCTGTTGATTCTATACGAGTCTGTACGATTCTACATGATTCAACATTATTTTACTGGATTCCATACGGTTTTATATGATTTTACAGTATTCTGTACGGTTGAGTCTATATGATTCTATACGATTCTTTAGGATTCAACATTATTTTACTTGATTCCATATGGTTCTACGTGATGCTGTACCGTTTATCCTATATGATTCCATATGATCTAACATTATTTTACTTAATCTACAATTATATATGTTTCAAAGCTATTTTATTTGATTCCATACGGTTTTATACGATTCTACATTATTCTGTACGGTTGATTCTATATGATTTAATGTTATTTTACTTGATTTTATATGAATCTATACGATTCTATATGATTCAACATTACTTTACTTGATTTCATATGGTTCTTTATGATTACATACTACATTATTCTGTGCGGTTGATTCTATATGATTCTGTACGATTCTATATGTTGCAACATTACATTCCTTGATTCCATATGGTTCTATATGATTCTATACGATTCTATAGATTCAACATTAATCTGTACGATTCTATATGATTCAACATTGTTTTACTTGATTCTACATTAATCTGTACGATAGATTCTATATGATTTAACATTATTTTACTTGATTCAATATGATTCCACACGATTCTATATGATTCTGTACGATTCTATATGATTCAACGTTATTTTACTCGATTCTATACAATTCTATATAATTCAACATTATTTTACTTGATTCCATATGGTTTTATATGATTCTACATTAATCTGTACGATAGATTCTATATGATTTAACATTACTTTACTTGATTCAATATGATTCCACACGATTCTATATGATTCTGTACGATTCTATATGTTATTTTACTCGATTCTATACAATTCTATATAATTCAACATTATTTTACTTGATTCCATATGGTTTTATATGATTCTACATTAATCTGTTTGACAGATTCTACATGATTTAACATTATTTTACTTGATTCTATATGATTCTACACGATTCTATGTTTTTATATGATTCAACATTATTTTACTTGATTCCATAAGGTTTTACATGATTCTACATTAATCTGTACGCTAGATTTTATATGATTTAACATTATTACTTGATTCTATATGATCCAACATTATTTTACTTGATTCTATATGATTCAACATCATTTTACTTGATTCCATATGGTTTTATATGATTCTACATTAATCTGTATGATAGATTTTATATGATTTAACATTATTTTACTTGATTATATATGACTCCACACGATTCTATATGATTCAACATTATTTTACTTGATTCTATATGATTCAACATCATTTTACTTGATTCCATATGGTTTTATATGATTCTACATTAATCTGTACGATAGATTTTATATGATTTAACATTATTTTACTTGATTCTATATGATTCAACATTATTTTACTTGATTCCATATGGTTCAACGTCATTTTACTTGATTTTATATGATTCAACATCATTTTACTTGATTCCATTTGGTTTTATATGATTCTACATGAACCTGTACGATAGATTTTATATGATTTAACATTATTTTACTTGATTCTATATAATTCAACATTATTTTGCTTGATTCTATATGATTCAACATAATTTTAATTGATTCTATATGATTCAACATCATTTTACTTGATTCTATATGATTCAACATCATTTTACTTGATTCCATTTGGTTTTATATGATTCTACATTAATCTGTACGATAGATTTTATACGATTTAACATTATTTTACTTGATTCTATATGACTCCACACGATTCTATATGATTCTGTATGATTCTATATGATTCAACATTATTTTACTTGATTCTATATGATTCAACATTATTTTACTTGATTCTATATGATTCAACATTATTTTACTTGATTCCATATGGTTTTATATGATTCTACATTAAGCTGTATGATAGATTTTATATGATTTTACAATTTTTTTACTTGATTCCACACGATTCTGTATGATTTAACATTATTTTACTTGATTCTATACGATACTATATGATTCAATATTATTTTACTTGATTCTATACTATTCTATATGATTCAACATTATTTTACTTGATTCCATATGGTTTTATATGATTTTACATTAATCTGTATGATAGATTCTATGTGATTCAACATTATTTTACTAATTCTATATGATTTCACACGATTCTATATGATTCAACATTATTTTACTTAATTCTATACGATTCTATATGATTCAACACAATTTTACTTGATTCTACATGGTTCCATATGAATTTCAGTGGCATTTAATAAAGCTTTCATTTTAATCAACTGAACAGAGTTTACAAACCTGAAAAATACTGGCTCCATACGGCGTCCTCCACGCATTCAACAAATTGTCTTTCCCCGTTGACACAAACCACTTTCCACACGCAGCGAATCGTAAACTTAAAACGCAACTTTCGTGCAGATGCAGTTGGTATTTATCGGGTTTGGCGGCGTGAAGAACTTCGACGTTGGAATTTTCCATGCCGACCGCTAACCAATCGCCAGTCGGACAATATCCAAGCGAAAATATTTGCGAACTGAAATCGTGCTGTTGCAGTTGCCTTCCTTCGCGCAAATCCCAACTTCTAACGGTATTGTCCAAACCGCCCGTCCACAATTTGGTTCCATCGGCGGAAATGTCAATGCAAGATGCGCCGTCGGTGTGTCCTTGAAATTGTCTAACCAACGTTTGATTGTGCAAGTCCCAAACGGCGATGTTTCCGTCCGAACAACAGCTGAAGCAGACTTTCGAGTCGGGTGATATAGCCAATGCGTAGCACGCGGGTGCTGAAGACGTGAGTTCCGCTTTGATTCTGGGCGTCGGACTCGCGAGGTCCCATATGGATAGGTTCGAGGCTTCGCCGCCGACGATCAACGTTCGACCGTCCGGCAGCAGCTTTACCGAGCGGATGTAGTTATCTCTTTGCTGTTGAAGATAAAAAATTAACTCAAATTAACGGTGATGATTGTTTCGAACGTTTACTTACTAAGCAATCCAGTTGGGAAACGGGACTCTTAGAACCGGGTTGGCTAATATCCCAAACTTTAACGCACCCTTTACCGCCCGTATAAACGTACTTTGTCGGGTTCGATATCGTAACGGCGCACACAACCTCCCCATGACTCAACGTGTTGATTTGACGGGCATGTCTTGGTATTCCCGGTCCTATCAGAGCGTCCGGTGGAAATGGTACCGGTTGCATTTGACCTTCTGCGCTCACATGAAAGGAATAAGCCCTACAAATCAAATAAATAATTCATTTATTAGTATATTATTATTTTAAATTAACCTTCGAGCGGGCGCATGTCATAAATTTTATCACATCAGGTACTTTTCGTTCAACAAAAATATCCCACAATCAAATACTGAATAGTGATTTCTCATGCTAACTAGCGCTACCTACTATTGTCACCAGAACTAACATTGACCTAGAACTAGAAACATTGGGATTTAGCCGAACGTCTCTCAAGACGGCTAAATCCGAATGATTCTAGTTCTAGGTCTTGTGTTAGTTCTAGTGTTAGTGTAAAACTAGAACTAACACTAGACCCAGAACTAGAAACATTCAGATTTAGCCACACGTCTCTCAAGATGGCTAAACCCGAATGATTCTAGTTCTAGGTCTTGTGTTAGTTCTAGTGATGGTGTAAAACTAGAACTAACACCAGACCCAGAACTAGAAACATTCAGATTTAGCCGCACGTCTCTCAAGACGGCTACACCCGAATGACTCTAGTTCTAGGTCTTGTGTTAGTTCTAGTGATAGTGCTAGTGTAAAACTAGAACTAACACTAGAATCATTTGGGCTTAGCCGCACGTTTCTCAAGACGCCTAAACCCGAATGATTCTAGTTCTAGGACTTGTGTTAGTTGTAGTGATAGTGCTAGTAAAAAACTAGAACTAACACTAGACCTAGAACTTGAAAGTATTGGGTTTTGCCGTGCGTCTTCAATCACACGTGCAATTAATATGTAAATTTTTTGTCTTTTATAATTTATAAGAGTTATATTATAAAAACCAAAAATGTCATAAATTTTATGATAGCGCGCCCACTCGAAGGTTAATTAATTTGTTACTTACGGTTTTCCGCCTGGTATTCCAGCGATTCCTGGTACAACAGGTGCCCTGATTTGAGAATGTGGGTCATATCCCACTTGGAGTTGCCTCGGGTAATTATTTAAAGCCGGCGGTAAATTGTTATGCATTGCACCATAAGCCCCAGCCGCTGCTGCTTGAAAATCATGTGCTGAAGCACCTAAAAAAATACACAATCAAATACGATTCTACAAAGAACAATTTTTAATTTACCATTTGACATACCAGCGAGGTATGAAGGGTATTGTCCCAAAGCGGGTGGTTTTACAACCGGTTTTAATCCGCTTCCTCCGGCTGCTCCGGGAGTACCGGAAGTTGGGGTTACAGGTTTTGAAATGGGTGTTGTTGGTTTTTCCCCGTCTAATTTTTTCGTTGAGGGTGTTGAAGCGTTACTGGAAGTTCCCGATCGGGGACTGTGAGGGCCTGGGTGTTCCTTTTTTGGTAGTTTATCAATTCCGTTTTCTCTCGGGGATGCTGTACCGTTTGGTGGTGATACTGGATCTTCTGATGCGTCATCTACCACCAGGTCTTGATCACTTTTTTCGCCGTCACTATGCTAGGAAATTAATAAAGAAAAATAATGATTGGTTACTTATTTTCTTTGTACAGTGTGTTAATTAATTATCGTACTCGACGTCATCATTGCAAGTATGCAACCACTCTCACAGTATTGGTATTGCAATATGCGATTTGCGATATTGGTTGCATAATGATGACTTAATTAACACACTGTACTTATTGATACATAAAGAACATGCAATAAAATACACTACTATATTCTTTTTACATTTTTAATTATTACTTTGTTTCGAACCAAGATCCACCATGTAAGGGTACGAACGAATGAATGCAACGAATAACAGTGGCGTACTATTATATGGTAAATAGGGGATGAGAACGAAAAACCAGTTTGCCAATGCTCGTTATCTGTACTGGTTGATCGAACGGATCGGGTTCTCGCATGTTCCGGGCGTGTTCGAACACACACGGGCTTTGAGTTTACGTGCTCCCCCATTTTCTTTTTGTTTACAAATTTGCATGGTAAGCCGCACCGGTAGCAAAAAGGAGAGAGGAGAGATACGTTGTATTCGCGGGGGAATGTTAATAAACTCATTCGTTTGCGAACGGGGCGACAGCTTTCCGCCGTGTAGTTTAGTGGTTAGCGTGAGTACCGAGTGTAGCGCGTCCAGTGGCGGCTCGTCCATCGGGATGGGGAGCGAGAGCATTTTAATTGGTAATTCTGTGCCTCTCACGTATATTATGTATGCGCATACGACGGTGGTGATTTAAAACGAAGACGAACTTTGGCGAGGACGGACGCCGACTATCACGAAGGATATGGCAACAAAAAAGTCGAAGAGACTAAATCGAGTGTCCGAATGGAATTTATCGGTTTCACTGATAGGTGGCCAGAGCTCGTTAACTCGATTTATTCCTGTGAGGACGCTTTTTCGTATGGCATTAAATCGGATCAGCATAAAGAAGCCGCTCCTTTAGCGGTTTACGGCCTATTGGTTCGATTTATGACCGCCACTTGTTAAGGGTGTATCTTCTTTTCTTTAAACTTATCGTTTTATTAAGTTTATTTAATAATTCATTATTGTACCGAAACAAACAATTCCTTTTAATAAAAAAATTATTGTTTCTAATATGTATTCGCCTTAAAAGATATAAGATATGTGTAGAGGTTTTTATGTCTTGCGGCAAGCGGCGTCGTCAGCGTAGAGCAATTTCAGCAGGGCGCTAGATGGCGCTCGTAAACGTAATGCGCGGCGTCGTAAACAGGGGGAGCTAGTGGAGCTGCCGTAAATGCCCGGAGAACGTTTTATTATAATGTAAAATGTCTTCGCGCAACGACGGCGGACGCCCCTAGGCGGCGACGACGTCGGAACAAAAGACTCTCGCGCCGGAAAGACATTAGACTAACGAGAAGAGGGGGCGACGCTACAACCACCGCCGTCAGCGTAATGCGCTCGGAACGCGCGCCCTCTTTCGGAATTGGAGCGAGAGGATTGCTTTGACCTAAATGCTGGAGGTGTTTCCGGTCGCATTCTCATTGTGTTCCGCTCGCATCCTATTCTCCACGGTTTAAAGCTTTTATTTTAGCTTTTAAAAGAATATTAATAATCACTCTAATTTATTCTGTCATTTGAATCAATCGTAGTTAGGCAAATCGTAGTTACGTGAAGTTTGAGCTGTCGTATTAGCTTTCTCCCCCATCCTGTAACACAGCCGCCGCCACTGGCGTCGGAGCTCGTGTTTTCGCCGTCGCGCTAATTGGGGGCGCTGCTGTAGCGGCGCTGCTCGACGGATTAATCCGCAATTAAGCGGCGCGAGGTGATAGTGTTGCCTGATCGAACACGACAGCGGCCGCTGCGGCAGCGGTGGCGGTACCCGGTTGGGGGGAAGGTGGCGGAAAAGGGGAACGGGATCGTTAACAGTCTGCCGGGACGCTTGTAATGTAAATGTTACCGGGGACGGGCGGTAGGTGGCGCGAACTAATTAGTTTTCGAGGACGTTAGGAACTAAAATTTATCTCTTACAGAGTCTTCATAAAAACTATAAAATGAATTTATTATTTATAATCCATTTTTCAGTAATTTTTCTTACACAGTAAAAATAGATTTCAAGATTAAATCTTAATAACTTTGGTAGATTGCGTTTTAGATAAATTTCTGATAAAGGAGTTTCCAAAATGTTGCTCCCAAATCATTCCATTATCGAGACGTTTAGTGAAGACCAAAGCTCATGAAATAGCACAAAAATTAAATGTTGCCAAAGTGCAACAAGCAACCAAGTTACAATTCTATTTTGTGCTAATATGGTAGGGAAAAAAGAAGATTTGATGGTGGCAAAACATAAAAGTTATCTTTTTACTCTCCCAATACCACATCAGGATGCCACAACCATTAGGCCAGGGGATCAAATAAGATCTGCTTCAGAGTTAGTGAAGTCCATAAATGTTTTAGAAGCACTCTATTACATTAAAACAGCCTGGAATAAAGTTTTGACAGCAACGATGCAAAATTGCTTCCAAAAAGCTGGTTTTCAAAAAAATAATGGCGATTCTACATCATTCGAATGGAATCCAGAAGATTAACTACTTTTATCTACGATAGTTCAAATGCGAATGTGTGCCAATGAAATGAACATAACACAGAAAGTCTTGAAAATTATACCAGTTGGATTATCTAATCCAACTCAAAATAACTCAGGCCAAGACAACTTAGCCCCATCCAATACAACCAAAACGATCCCACTCACACCCAACCCATGACAACTCAATTTAATCCTAGATGATTCAACTAAAGACAACCCAAAGCCAACCTAAAACTACCCAACCCAAGACAACTCACGTCAACTCAACCCAACTCAATTCAATCCAACCCTACTAAATGTGAAAAATCATACCACTCCAACCGAAATCAAGATAACCTACGACAACTCAATCCAATCATAGATAATTCAACTCAAGACAAACTCAACTCAAGACAACCCAATCCAACCTAAAACTATTCAACTGAAGATAACCCAATTCAACCTAAAACTGCCCAACCCAAGATAACTCCAGATAACCCAACTCAACACAAAACAGCTTAATCCAAGACAATCTGGAAGTTTCAACTATCCTACAACAATTCACGTCAACTCAACCCAACTCAATTGAATCTATCCCAAGAAAACTCAATCTAATCCAACTCAAAACAACTCAATTCAAGACAACTTAGCTCAACCCCACCTAATCTAACCCAACCAAAATCATCCTACTCCAACTCAAACCAAGATAACCTACGACAAGTCCATTAAATCGTAGATATTTCAACTCAAGACAAATCAAACTCAAGACAACCCAATTCAACCTAAAACTACCCAACCCAAGACAACTCGAAATAACTCCACCCATCGCAACCCAACTCAACACAAAACAATCTAATAGACAATTCATTCCAATACAATTCATTCCAACCCAAGGTAATCTACTCCAACCAAAGACAACCTAACCCAGCTCTATTCAACCCACTTCCTTTCATACACTGAATGATTTAGAAAAAAACGTTAGTCACAGTTTGTTTTCCAATGTGTGCTAATGACATGAACATAACACAAGAAAATCTTGAAAATTATGTTCGAATCGACGATATTGTAGCAATAGAAGAGATGAGTTTGAACATTGACGATATGATTGAAAACATGATTGAACATGATCCTGCACTAGAAGAAAAAAAGAAGATCTCGAGTGTGACAATGTTGAAAGCAGCCACACAATTACTACATATAATGAGGCTTTCAAAGTATACAACAACATACAAAAATATATTTCCATAGAAACCAGGGCGTACCTAGTTACTTTGCCTACATAAATGCAACATGTCTGAATGTTTTTAGTTCTAGTGATAGTGATAGGTAGCGCTAGTTAACATAAGATATCACAATGATGCATATTTTTATTGAACTAAAACTAGAACTAACACTAGATCTAGAACTAGAAAGATTCGGGTTTAGCCGTCTTGAGAGACGTGCGGCTAAATCCGAATGATTCTAGTTCTAGGTCTTGTGTTAGTTCTAGTATTACACAGGTACTATTATTAGAACTAACACAAGATCGAGAACTAGATTCATTCGGATTTAGCAGTCTTGAGAGACGTGCGGCTAAATCCGAATGTTTCTAGTTCTAGGTCTAGTGTTAGTTCTAGTTTTACACTAGCACTATCACTAGAACTAACACAAGACCTAGAACTAGAATCATTCGGGTTTAGCCGTCTTGAGAGACGTGCGGCTAAATCCGAATGTTTCTAGTTCTAAGTCTAGTGTTAGTTCTAGTTTTACATTAGCACTATCACTAGAACTAACACAATATCTAGAACTAGAATCATTCGGGTTTAGCCGTCTTGAGAGACTTACGGCTAAATCCGAATGTTTCTAGTTCTCGGTATTAGTAACACTAATAACACCTTCAATAAGCAGACAAAATCAGCGGAACCATGACTGTCCGCTTATATGAGAGGTTTCACTGTACGTAATAAGCATTAATAGTTAACATATAAGTGGTCAACATAATCGACGACAGTGTATGTACTCGTACATAAAAAACATAAGATATGAATTATAACGATAACGATTTTCAATATTCATGATGTAATTTAAAACACATCTAGAAAACTATATATGGCTTTATATCGAAACCTTTATAAAAAACGTATAATATATTTATCGTAAAGGTATCCCATACTATCTGTTTAGCGTCTGAGCGCTTGGTAATCGATCACGTTTCAATACTTACCCATCAAGGCAATTGAATAACAGCCATTAAATAGCCATTCTACGCACATCCTTAATGCCTCCATTTGCTCTATAACTTATTTACAGCAGTAATACGTTTGCGAGTCGTTCCGTACCCGGCTTTTATAGATGCACTTAATGTTCGGACGAACGAACGAACGGGGCAAATGACGCGGTCAAGTAATAATAATACGCGGAAAGCAACGGCGACGTTTTACGACTCGAGAATTATTTATACATTCACTTGGTATTACGACTTTTTTTTCATAACATTTACTTGTTATGACTTCATCTAATTCGGGTGTACAGTTACTTTAACGCTCTAAAATAACATCGGGTTTAGTATTGTTATTTGTCAAACTAAAGAGTACAGTGTGTTAATTAATTATTGTACTCGACGTCATCTTCGCAAGTATGCAACCACTATCACAGTATTGGTATTGAAATACGCGATTTGCGATATTGGTTGCATACTTGCAATGATGGCGTTGGGTATGATAATTAATTAATAATAACTAATAACACTGTATATAAGTTATTAAAAGAACTTATTTACCCTTCTAGACGAAAAACTCTACTACAGACAACGTCAATAGTATGTTAAGATGTTTTTACGTACTTTAATACTTACGTGCCCTAGCTCCTTTTCTTCTTTCTTCACTTTTTTATGGTCAGGTTCCTGTGGGGTTCGTGGTCTGTATTTTTCACGTTCAGCCGGTGATATTGAACTTCTCTGCAAGAAAATAAAATAAAATTAATCGTTTTGGAAATCGAAAGTTTATTAAAATAGTAAAATGTGGAAACGAGTGAATGAAAATGATCACTCGGTGTGGTTATGAACATATCGAACGTTTTGCACATTCGGGAACGTTCATGACCACAATTCACACATGTTTATGCGCACTTCAACCGCGTTGATTGATGGGACAAGGTAAAATGCGCGGAACTCTGTATATTTGACGCGAAGCTGGAACGGTCGAATAAATACCGCGTGAAATACGCCCTTCCGTGACTGAATTCAAATCCTGACAAATCCACGTGCAACCATAAATACATATTCGAATTCCGAAACATCATTATGACGATTTAATATGAATTCGCAGAGAAAATCGCTATTTTATGGTTTGACAGTACTTTAAAGAAAGAGATATAAAGTAGGTGGAAAGAGGTTGGAGGTTTCACGACGATGATGATACAATATTAAAGTAGTGAAGTGGTGCGGGCGAAGTTCGTACTACCGCCGGAGGGGGCGCGCAGTTTATTGCGGACAATAAAGTCGGGCTTTATTGTCGTCGGTGGCGCCCCCTCGTGCGGCGACGCTCGAAAACGGTCCGGCCACAAATCTGCCACACGGTCCCGGTTAAAAATGTAGTAGAAAGGCCGCGATACGACAAAAGAGGAACAATTGTTACGTACGTGTTTCGAAAACATGTTCATATCCAATTTCTCTTCTTTTTTTGACACATCCACACAATTACCATGCTCTAACAACCCTAATTATGAGAACTTATAAACTGCGTTTTTGCTAAATGATGTTGGTGATAATAAATGTACAATGTGTTAATTAATTATCGTACCCGACGTATGCAACCAATATTACAGTATTTTTATTGCAATACGCGATTTACGTATGATGCGTATTGCGCTGTGATATTGGTTGCATACTTGCAATAATGACGTCGGGTACGATAATTAATTAACACACTGTACTATCTGTTAATAAGGCTTAATTGTAGCGGACTTGAAAGTTCGAGATGGAGTTTCGATATCGCAATAGAACTTTCTGGGTCATTAATCTCTTGAATGTAATGAGGAATTCTTGAAGGCCAAACTCAAGAAATAGTAAAGAAATTGAAGCTTTCGTCCAGTCTAAGATTTGTAGCCTATTTTGTTGATCAAGGTTTTGCAAGGTTTCTACTAATCGATTTTTGCGATTGAAACAGAAACTCTAAAGATTCGTTAACACTTACAAACCATATTATTCTAAATTTGTACTGGCAAGAGTTATAACTTGAACACTACTTCTGGGAGAAGTTTCAACTTTCCCACGACAACTCATTTCAACTCAACCAAACCCAATTCAACACAAGGTAACCCACTTTTATTTAATCTTTTTTAGTCCACGTCTTCTGTTTTGTGTGGTACCAACTGAAGCCCCATCTCTTCCAGTTTTGCACTTATGTTTTTGAGACAGTACGCGGCCTTATCTTTCACTTCCCCCGTTTCCATTCCTCGTACCATCACTGCTACATCATCTGCGTGGCCTACTATATTCACCCCGCTTACTGTCTTCATTCGCAGTACTCCTTCATAGTACACATTCCACAGTGTCCCTCGTCGATCACTGTGGTACGCCAGCGGTCATTTTCTTTCCTCTGCCATCTGGAAATACCACTGTTCTTCTAGATAGATAACTATTCATTAAGTTTCTTATCGTTGTAGGTACATCACAACTTTTAAGGGCTCTAAGTAGTTTCTTTTAAGGCTCTGAATTAAATGCGTTCTCCACATCTAATAGGGTCATCACCCTATAACCACGATGAGTCAATCGTTATCTTCATTATGGCGTCTACTGTACTCATTCCTTTCCTGTAACCGAATTACACGTTGGAGATTAACTTGTTTTTCTCTAGGTATTCTATGAGTCGTTCATTAATTATTGTTTCAAATAGCTTTCTCACTGTACTCAGTAAGCATAGCGGTCTGTATTGGTTTTCTTCATTTTCCTTCTTCGGTTTTTCAATCAACACCAATTCCGCTCTTCTCCACATTTCAGGAAATTCTTCTATTTCGAAGCTCCGATTAAAAACATTTAGGAACACGTTAGGATTGGTTTTTACACAATCTTTCAGTATTTGATTTGTACATTTTTCCACAACGCCAACTCAACCAAACCCAACTCAACTCAAAGTAACCCAATCCAATCTAATTTAAAATAATTCGGCCCAAGGCAACCTAGCCTAATCCAATCCAACCAAAACGACCTCACTCACACCCAACCTATGACAACTCAATTTAATCCTAGATGATTCAACTCAAGACAATCTAACTGCAGACAACCCAATCCATCCTAAAACTACCCAACCTAAGACAACTCGAAATAACCCAACCCAATACAAAACAATCTAATCCAAGACAGTTTGGAAGTTTCAACTATTCTACGATAACTCACGCAACTCAACCTAACTCAATTCAACTCAACCCAAATAAATCCGATAACCAAATCTAATCCATCTCAAAAAAAAATCCAAGACAACTTAGCCCACCCCACCTAATCTAACTCAACCAAAACCATCCCACTCCAACCGAAATCAAGATAACCTACGACAACTCAATCCAATTCTAGATAGTTCAACTCAAGACAAACCCTACTCAAGACAACCCAATCCAACCTAAAACTATCTAACTGAAAATAACCTAAAACTACCCAACCCAACACAACACAGCTTAATCCAAAACAATTTGGAAGCTTCAACTATTCTACAACAACTCACGTCAACTCAACCCAACTCAATTCAATCCAACCCAAGCTAACCTAATCTAATTCAACCCAAAACAACTCAATCCAAGACAACTTAGCCCAATCCCACCTAATCTAATCCAACCAAAACCATCCTACTCCAAACGACAACTCCATCCAATCCTAGATAATTCAACTCAAGACAACCCAATCCAACTTTTCCCTCTCTTTTCCCAGCATATCCCTCATCTTTTCCAATCTTTCCTCAAAGGCTTCCATGTTTCATTTGGTGACATATAGCATTCAATCCCGATGTACTCTGACTGCAACATATCTCTTTCCTCTTTTACATCCCCTTCTTCTATTAAAAATCTTTATAGCGACGTCACTCTCACAGTCTGTGAATGAGTTCGCACCGTTAACCTTCTTCTTATTTGGCTTTGATACTATAACAACATCCACTTCTTCTATTTGACACTTTTCCTCTACAAGATTCATTGCTTCTAGACATCTGTTTAGGTTTTTCTGAAGTATATACGTTTAGTATAAGAAATCTATCCATTTCCACCCTCGCTTACCTCTATGGTCTCGGCCTCTTCCGATGTTCCTTCTTCCTGAGGTATTGTAGAGTGACTATGTTCCTTTTGTTTTCGTTCTTCGTTATTTTTCTTACCACCTATATCCGATATGTACATGGATTTAAAATACCACCTTCCTTCTCCCCGGCGTCTTATCTCTTCCCTCTCATTCTCTATGGACCTTCCATCCTCCTTCTCTTCCTCTCTTATTTTGCCCCTCTTCATATTGCTAACCAATTGGTGGTATTTTGGACACGTCATACCTCCCATTCTATGTCCCTCTTCATCACAATCTCTACAGTAGGAATTTGCTTTACAGTCTACCAATAGATGATCGTTTTTTTCCTTTTCCAGACATTCTCTTGCCAAATGCTCATGCTTGTGGCATTAATAGCACACTCTTGGCACCATTATATCCAATATCTTACATATCGTCCAACCTATTTGGATTTTCTTTCTCCTCAACCCAACCCAACCTAACCCAGCTCTATTCAACCCACTTTCTTTCATACAATGAATGATTTAGAAAAAAACGTTATTCACATTTCATCTTTAGTCACAGTTTTCGCAACAAAAACGTAAGGTTTAAGCTTTTGATAGTTATGCAATTCTAAGCAGAAAGAACTCGGGAAGATATAAATTTCCAAATATCTGTATTGAGAAAATAAAAAACTAATATTGTACTATATATTTTTTGAAAAATGTGAATTACGAAATCTTCTTAAAATGATTTTATTTACTGGATATGTTGTGAGTAAATCTTGTAAAAGAGTTTCGGGAAAAGTAAGAAATCGTGGGTGGTTGGGGTGAGTTTGGAATGTTATGTCGACGTCGCACGCTAGGGGTGGTCGCTTTGGAACGCTTCCAAACGTATATTTCCTCGCCGGAAATGCGGAAATATCACGAGAACGTTTAGGAATCTTGCCAGGGCCCCGGCGGGCTTACTGATTTCACGCTAACTTTTGCCGATTTCTGAATTTACTGCCCTCGAAGTCCCAACGGAAGTTGTAATGAAATCGTAAACATCCACCCAACCCAATCCTTTCAACTCGTTTGAAGGGGCCTATTTTTGGTTAATCAATAAGCTACTTGAAAAATTCACTTTACTGGAAAATAAAACTATCAATTTATGTTTTAAACGTAAATAAACGAGCACAAAAAGAACGATGAGTTTCGCCGTTTCCGAAAATCATAATAAATGAGGTCGCGTTAAAGGGGGTGGAAAAGCGGAATTCCGCGAAAAAAAAAAACAACCAAAAAAAAAAGGAAAATACGACCGTTTTCATCCCTTAATCAATTTACGCGGTCGGAAAGGCCCGGGGCACATTTTTCTGTCAGGGGCACGCCGTCGGTTTCCCAATTCCTCTTCTCCCTTCACCTTCCCACCAACCCCTTTTCGCATTCATTCCCCCGGAAAAGCCTTTCGGCTTTCTCGCTTCGAAGACCAGACGTGTCGTAATCTATTGTTAAACTCCCTACAAGAAGACTCTACAACCAACCCTCTTTTTTTGTCACGTTTATCAATTTAAAAATGAACATTTTTTAATTTTGTACATTTAAAAAAGTAAATCAATGAGATGTTACAAAAAAAATGAGATGTGGAGAAATAAAATACATCGTGCATTTTATCTGTAGCAGTTTTGACATCTCAAAGGAACAAAGCCGTACAGGGTATAAATATTTCATATTTCGCCC